ATCTGTCGATTTTTATTGCTAGATGTATTTGTGGACCTTTTCATAACTTTACTGTTCGATTGCCGATATTTCTATCAATGTCCTCAAAATCCTTATAGATTTTTTCGATGATTCTCGCTATGGATATCGGTAAATGTAATTATGGCAATTGTTATCGATATCATCATAGCCATTTCATATCTATGACCTTAACAACTTACAAAAAAAAAATTAAAAACAATTTTTTTCGGTTTTATTTTCTATTTATTTAAACACATAACCGGACACATTAGACTGCATCACCAAAAAAAAGTTGAGGTTTTTACGCCGGGATTATAAAACGTATTATATTTTAAAACCAAGATTTAAGACCAAAATATTTCGAAAAAATATTAAGATTTACGTGAGCTGGACCGATTTGAAAATACCTCCGAAAATGGACTTTTTATGAATACAAATAGTTTCTTAAAGGATTTTTTGAAAAAAGCCCCTCATATGACAAAACAGTTTAAGCTTAAAATAGACATTGTTATGAATACATACATAAAACTACTCAAAAATGTTTTCCAGCGGAATCACAGTAATACGATTTTTGTTGCTGTTTTAGAACTGTTTTTTCGAAGATTTGTTTAAGAAAATTTGGAAGAACTGGTCCAAAACTATACCGAAATAGACTTAGTAGGTATCAGTGGAAAGGTATTTTTTCACTCCTTTTGTTTCTTTGCAAAAAACTCATTCACGACCCAATTCTTTATTAAATACCAACACATCTTAATTCAACATGGATGGCGCTCTTTCTCTTTCATGTTTTGAATGAGCTTACTTGCATAAATAAAAAGGGTGAGAAAATACCCTTCCAATGATACCTCATAAGTCTAAATCGGTAAGTTTTGGCTGAGTTATTCAAGTTTTTCTTAAACCAGTCTTTGAAAAAAGATCAAAAACAGCATCGACTCTTATTATTATGATTCCGTTTAAATTTTTTTTTTACATATTTTTATGCAAGCGGCGAGTTTGCTGAATACAGTGCTTTTAACATTGACCTTAGCTCTAGTTTTTGGCAATTGTTTCTCTACTGCTTTGGTCCCCGTCGACTTTTTAGGGTGTACATTGTCAAAACTGTATATCTTTGAATCGCGTCGCCTTAATTCCTCTCTGATGTAGACTAGCATCTTCTCGAACGATGCTGCGCTCTGCTCACGAGACAATTTATCGGTGGAGCGCGAGGGGGATTTTGAAGTGCTTATCTTCGCTTCGCTTTTGGACTTCGATGTCCTTATTTTGGCTCTCCTCTTCTCGCTGACTTAAGGCAGGCGTTCGTGCTCCGATTGCGCTTTCGCTGATTCTCAGATTTTGGCTGCCTGCTCTTGGAGCGTTTCTTGATTTTCCTCTTTTGCTTATGCAGGTACCTAGCCAATTTCAGCACACAAACGTAGACGGCACCTCGTGGCGCTCAGACGAAGCTGTGGTGGTCCTGCTGATCGTCGGCTTGTTTGTTGAAGTAGTGGGTGGTTCTTTGCTATGTATCGAGGACTTGCTCGTCGCAGTGGAAGGCTGTTCGGAATTTGAGCGATCTTTTGGGTTTGGCTCGTCTTCTGGTTTTGCGTACGGATTGGGATAAAGTGGCTTCCGCTTTGAACATAAGCTTTTGTTGTACCTCCTGTGCCGCTCTAAGAGTTTGTGATATCTCTTGGCTTCTTTGGCGGTAATTTGGTAAATATTCGACACTTTATGGCATAACTTGTGGCGTCGCGGCACGTTTTTGAGTTTACCTGGCTTGCATTTGGGTTTTTAGGTATCGCCGTTTTCTTTCTGTTACCAAACGTGCTGCACGAGCGTACGCTACTCTCGTTGTCGCTTGCTTCTTTGTTGCTGAACAAGTTCAAGATTAACTTGCAGAATACTTTCAAAGGTGATTTACTTTGTTCTTCTTTTTCGTCATCTGTTTTCTCCGCCTCGCTGCGTATGAGTTTAAGTTTCTTTTTGTGCTCCAGTTCATCGCGTTTCTCAATCGCCTTTTGTATTTCCTTTTGACGCTTTATCTCCAACTTGATCTGCTTCAGCAGTTCTTTTTCACGCTGCTTAATTTCTCTTTCGCGTTCCTTTCTCAACTCTTCTTGCATTTTTATATTCTTCTCCTGATCTCGCTTAAGCTTTTCTCTGGCTTTTCCTCCTTTTCGTTCTTGCCTCTTTTTTATTTCCTCCAGTTCCTTTTCCTTGTCATAATCTCGAAAAGCTGTGCTGCGTGGGGCCATTATGGGATAACATTCTGTTATCTATCTCTTCTTTCGGACGCAAGGTGTCTCTGCAGCTGCGCTTGTCAATGCAATGGGTTTCGGGGGTGTGTCTCTTGGTAGTATTTATAGATTCTTATTAGCGTATTCAATGAAGGTTCATTTTCCTCGCGCATCATCTTTATGCCCGACTCTCTTCGCCTGTGTGTGTGTCCCACAGGCGCACTTTCAATTCCTTATTCTCTGCTGTGATTTTTAAGATGTCCTTGCTGGGTCGTATTCGTGGATGTGAATCCGGAGACTGTGTGTGGTCGTATTTGCTCGCTGTGGCTTGCAGCCGCTTAATTTCTTCGCAATCTATTTCCTGTCCTTTGTGCTTCATGTAGCGTGGCTCGGTTTCAGCGTATTTCTTCATATCTTCCATTTGTTGGTTGACGTCTGAGTCCTCCATGCGCGTTTTGCCCTTATTCTCCCAAATCGACTTGAGCTCTTTTTGGCCGTTTTTACGCTTTGCATCAAAAAGTTCTTTAAGCGCGCTCGTTGGCCTTCCTTTAGCTCCTTCGGTTGCCTTTACCTTTTCTTGTGCTTTCTTTTCATTTCTAGCCTGCCTTTCTTTTTTTGTCTGCTTTTTTTCTTGTCTCTCCTTCCGTTTACTTTTTGCCTTTTCACGCCCCTGTGCTTTCTTCGCCACCTCTTGCTTGACTCGTCTCATTTCAGCACTGAGCACGCGTTCGCAAAAGGGTTCTTTCTGCTGTTCGCTACCCCTTGGCCCTTGAACGCTAGTCGTCTGTGCAAATTGGTAACCCTGCTTCGGGGCAAATAAGCTATAGCGAAATGCCGCTTCGGCTTCTTCGATCGTTCGTAGTTTTATGCGCGACGTCTGGTTGAGAGTTTTTCTTTTGTTTATCGCCACGTCTTGGCCAGCGGTTGGACGGTACACATCGTCGTCATCGTCATCATAGTCGTAAGTAGATCTAGGTTTTGTTTTACTTTTGTTCTTGGAGGAGCTTGTAAAGCATGAATCACTTAGTTTTTGTATGAGTCCTCGTCGCTCAGGTGTTTTCGGCGTGGACTTGACCTTTGCCTGACGTGCACCAGACGGTCTCCTCCTCCTTGCCGACGCCGCTGAATTAGAGTAAGTCTGCCTGTCTCTGTCGCTATTTTGTACGGGGTGAAATGCCACGCGTCGTCCTTTTAAGTCCACACCGTACAAGCGGTTGTGCGCCAACATAGCATTCTCGTGCTCTTCAAGCAAGCTGAGGAACTCGGGCGAAATGTGTTTAAAGCACTTGGGGTCCATGCGTCGTTGTTCGGTCTCGCGTAAGGGCTGTCCCAGCCGCAAAAATTGCTGCGGATCGGTCGATTTTCGCGTCGAGATGGCGAGCATTTTGCACTTCTCCGTCAAATTCGCACTGTTAGTATTCTGTTCACGCTGACACTCGTACCACGATGTAGCCGTGTCCGGTACATAGATGCTGGACTTCTTCGCGGCAGCCCAGAGACTGTCGATGATCTCATTGCAATCGGTGCGACAGCGCGTATTTGTGCGACCTAGCTGCTGCTGCAGTCCCAGCTGTTGGTTGAGGCGCATTGATTGATTTAGCGTGTCTGGCCTGCCGTTGGCGTTGACGCTGCTGATGAAAGCTGCATAGTTTGAAGGGCAGAGGTAGTCCTGTTCGGCCTGTTGTTGCTGCAGTTGTAGACGCTGTTGTTGCGCTTGGTAGCGATTGTAGGTTGGTTGGTTCTTGTTCGTGAAGAGGTCGGGGCCGTAGTAATTGCGGCAGCGTGAAGCTGCCAAGATTTGTGACGTCAAGTAGCGGTAGCAGTTTGTATTACCGAAGTTGCCGAAATTCATGACTGCGCATTAATGAGATTCATACATTGGAGACCGAAACATTCAATTTTAGTACACGAAATGTAGGCGATGTTAATATATATATATATATATATATATTTTTTGTTTTTTTGTTTTACGAGTTTTCCGAATTAAAGCTGAATGGAAAACATGTAAATTACGAAAATATTCATTTGAAAGTTACAAATTTTGAAGTGCGCATTGGTGCGCATTTGAAATACCGAAATGTTGAATGAGTCAATATTCAGAGAAGGCAAAATGTGGTTTGATGGAATTACGAGATTGATTTGTGTAGGGAGGGTTGCCATTCTGACACGATACAGGTTAGTTTTAGTTGCGCTAAATGTATGCGTTATAAATTTTGTCTCTCGTGTCGAGCTCGCCGAAGCCAGAATTCTTAATAGGCGGCATACACGGTGCGTCTGACTCGCTCGCGAGGTTTTTGTGTACGTGTTGACTCGCCTTCGACTACACACAGTTGGATCATTCAGAGTCATGCCAGGAGTCAAGTCGGTGTAACTAAAACATATTTATTTTCACCAACACTTCCAAATCGACTCGCGAGTCAGACGCACCGTGTATGCCGCCTATAAAGTGAAAGTATATACCATCCGTTACGTCACCGCAACCGTCACAATCACCCTCAACGATGCTTATGCGTCAAGTTACACAATATTCGTTTGACATTTATAATATAATAGATTGGCGCTTACACATATGTATGTATGTTAGTGTTTGGTCGAGCTTCTCCTCCGATTTGTGGCGTGCGCCTTGATGTTGTCACACAAAAGGGAGGGACCTACAGTTTTACCACTAAAAAAAATACCGCCAATCTACACTTCTGCTTTCAATTTCTCATCTATTTACTATATGTATACCTAATCTCGAATTCCATTCTAACTACATATGTACGATTTTTTCTCACATTGCAGAATCGTTTCCGCCATACAGGCCGCATTCTCATTTCTGGTCGGCTTTATTGTATGCAAATCGACCTGTAGCAAGTCATTTGTCTACGCCTCGCATTTCTTGATGGAAGCCTATGGCTGGTTTGGCACCGCTTACTTTATGTACGACATTTGGTCCATGTACAAAGTGCATACACAGAAAATCGCTGACAAATTGAGACTGATGAGTCTGAATACCGCCGCTGGCGCAGGTGTGCGCTGCTCATCGAATGGCGTCAATATTGTCAATGGCGCTGCTGCTGGTAATGGCAGTTGTGATGGTTACAGTGATGGAGATGATTCACCGGTACGCGCGACAGCACAGCAACGCGAAAACGATGATATCTACGATTATGATGGCGATTGTGTGCAGATACCGAAGGATGGCAAGTGGGATTTCATCAAATATGTGATTACGCATCCAGTTATGATGATCCATCATATCTTCATTGGTACTTTTGGCTTACTGGTTGTGACGGTGAGTAGTGTGTGTGCATGTGAGGATATATATTAATATGTGCCTATACAATCGTACATATGTTAAATCGATTTATGTTTTTGTTTTGAACAGTACATACGCGGCGGTGGCCACTGCATCTACAGCTATATGTTCATGATGGAATTCTCCACGCCCTTCGTTTCGATGCGCAGCATACTGAGCACTATGCGTTTGAAAGACTCACGCGCTTACATCATCAATGGTCTGCTAATGTTGGGCACGTTTTTAGTGTTTCGTGTTTTTATGTGGCCATACGTTATGTATCGCTATAGTGTGGCCATCAATGTGAGCCTCTGGCAGGTGAGTGCTGTAGAGATGTGGTCAGATCTGCCATACAAGATCTATTGGGGGAACCTCACCTTTGTCCGTTTTAACGGTGGAATGTGTCAAATTATTAAAGTATACATTTTTTTTTCTGCAGGCGGTGACCACTTTGCCACGCGGTTGCATTATAAGCATTTTGATACTCTTCCTACCACAGCTTTATTGGTTCTTTTTGATGGTCAAAGGTGCACTAAAGGTGAGTAAAAATTATATCGAATAAAATAGGGAGAAAATAAAATACAAATTTCTTAAAAGTGCGATAAAATCAGCACCTCTTAGCTAATTAGTTCTATTAACTATCCAATAGTTATGAAAGTGAAAGTAAAATATGCCCCATATTAAATTATATTGCTTGATACTCTTACTTTGCACATTTTCCAGGTACTTTTACCGGCAAAACAAAAAATTGCTGCACCCAAAAAATTGCGGCAGTCAAAAAACAACAACTTATCACCGGTGACACCAAACGCTGAACAAAATTTTAATCAAATTTGCGAAGCTGCGGTCAACGGCGCAGCCGAAAAGCACTCAACACAGAACCAATTGCTATCATTTGATAGAAATGTTAAAAATTAGATATATGTACATACAAACACAGTTGAATTTTATTGGCAGCAAAGAACCGTTAACCTCAAGGAAGATGAAGTTTATTTTTAACATAGTCTATATGTACCAATAACATCTGCTTTGCTGTTATTCAATTAAGTTTGTAAAAAATTTATTTTGTGATTAATTAATTTATACTTATTCTTGCATTCATACAACCATTTATTCCACAGCACAATTTATTATATACCTACATAGATAGTTAACATCTTTGGTAAAAAAAAAATCTGAGTTACAGGTCTATTCTGCGCTGTTAATAAAGATTTTGTAACCAGTAAATAAAGTTACTGCCAATATTTAAACCCTTTTCGCATACTGTGTACTCCTATAACCGGTAAGTTTTGTTACCATCTCATAAGCTGGTAAAATATGCAATGTCAGAATTTCCACAAATCTTCATAGCTGAATTGTTGAATATTTTAACTGAATTACCAACCCAGAATCGCGGTGACAAGAGCTGGTAACATTTTTGTGGTAATAAAATTTTCTGGTTACAAAATCTTCTGTAACGTGCAGAATAGAATTAAATTGATGATTTATTTCCAATTAACTTATGCATTTGAAATGTCTTCTAACTTTGTTCTACATATGTAAAAGCCACAAAATAACACTCGAAGTGAAGTTAACATTTTAATTTTTGTAAACATTGTTAATTAACTATTAAATATTTAATATATTGAACTTTCTGATGGTCATTTTTGACTTACTTCTACTTATTTCTGTATGTGTATAGGTGTTTATTTATGCAATTGTGTGTATGCAAGCGCCAATTATTTTAGCATAATTACATATATACCAACCATTTTATAAATTAAATGTTAATTTAATTCGATAAATGTTATAAAGGTAATAGATATTACACACTTAGCAGCATACATACATGTTTTTTATATGTATACAAAAGAACAAATACTAGTTATTAATATGTAATACTTTAAGTCATCTAATTTGTAACATTTTAGTGAAGGCAGTACAACTAATTTTTCCAAATATATATATATTTTTTTTTTTGCTTGAGTTCCTTTACTTTTAAACTATAAATTATGTTTGTATATCTGAGTATTGAAAAGTAGTACTTGAATTCGCGTATTTATAACTTGCCCAAATTGTAAAATTACATAAATTTGCATGTATAATAGATGTGTATTTAAAATGAAAATAATGCCGTTAGCAGCATTTAATCAGCTTGCGCAAAATGCAATGTAGACAAACTAAAAAGTATACCTAAAGGGAAAGAACCAATATGAGATAACACATTCGATATCTCGCATTTTTTTGCTGTAGATACTTTATATTGATGCATTTTAGTCGTATACAAGTTTTCATGTGTTGTGAGAAATACATATGTATGTATGTACAAATAAATTAAATAAAAAATCTACAGCATCAGCCAACAAGCAGGCACACTACTAACTACTCGTGCTTATCGTTTGTGTGCAGATATACAAAAAAAAAGAAAGAAACAACTAATAAAGAATCTGCATAATTGTTTAATAACCTGTTTCGACTGATTTATAACGGAGGTTGGTTTTATGCGGATAATAATAAAATTTTGACCATTAAAAAGCAACAGACAACGACACTTTGCTCCAGCTCTTTATTAAACTCTCAAAACCAAAACTTTACTTTGAAAAAATATCTACTTGCAGTCAGATGGATACTGCTGGTCATGGCTTTTTTTTACCAATACCCCACTATTAATGCCAGTGAGTACCATATGAAAAGCGGTGGGTATATCATATCCGTTCACTCATCTTCAAAGTAAAAAATCTTAGTCGCTGCAAAGCAGCAGCTTCCTGCGGCGAAGTAATTTTGAAATGGATTTTTCAAAAGCATTATTTTTTTATGTAATTATTTCCATTAGTTTATAAACATATGTATTTGCAATTTTTGTATTATTTCATTGCAAGAAATAACATAAATTTCATTAATTTTTTTTTTAAATTTACAAATTCCGAAGTTTAGTAAAAACAATTTCCTTTTCAGCAGTTTGTACTTTTACAAAAAAAAATGTACAGATTCCCTCTGAACCTCTACTATTTTCATGCAAATTATTTTTCATTAATTATTTATGAAAATATAGTTAATTCTATAACATAAATCATTTAAATCAAAGTTTCCCAATTTATATAAAGTTTACAAAAATTCAAATAATTTTCATCAAAATTTCAAAATTTTTACTCAAAATTTCTAGAAAATGTTCGAGTATGTAAGTTATGTAAAATTAAGAAAAATTATTATTTTAATTAATTTGCGTTGCACAGCAGCAAGCTATAAGTGTAAGTGTAAATTTAATTTAATTTGATATCGATGTTTTTGGTTGTTTTGAAGTGTTTTTTTGTAATTCGTTTAAATCAAAAAGATCGGGTTTTTAATACAGGTTTTTTTAACGGTTTAAAACCTGAATAAAAACCGTGATTAAACAAAACCCCGATTCTTTGGATACGATGCCCATCCCTAGCGCAAGGTTCCATTAGAGAACGTTTATAAACGTTATCTGACGTAAGACTGCTTTTACACAGTTCAAGTATTGAATTCAATTCTGCTGGTGAGAAGAAAAAGGACGAGTACACATGCATCTGTACCATTGAGTCCTTTCAACTTTCTTGCTTTGCTTTTGACATTTTCGTTGTCTCCCATTTAAAGAACCAAAAGCTTGAATTCAACAGAATTGATGCGTGTAAAAGCAAATAGAAAACAAAAGAAAATAAGCAAGTATTGCTATCAAGTACTTGAATCATGTAAATCGGGTGTAAACAAATGAACGGTAACTCTGTGGCTTAAATTTGTCCCTAGCACCGATTCCGGTAGTGGATTTTGGTCCCAAACCGATTAGGATGATAGCAAAATAGCAAAAAACATCGGAACAGCAGGGCGGCGGCAGCTGGTAGTGCAATGCCCTTAACCACCTTTCCTATAAAAAAAAATTGAATATTACGATAACTAACTAATTTGACAGTTTCTTGCATCCTCCTATTCGGCTTTTATTACTTTTAACTTGAGCACTGTCAGCGCCATCGGGAATGCGCAATCCCGTATTCTATCATTCATTGGCTGCGTTTCTTTATACATTCCGGATAATCCCATTTCACAGCCGGAATAAACAGAATGCTTTTGAAATATACGTTTACATATCATCAGGAACGTTCTAAAGAATAAGTAAACAAAAAAGTTTATTCCAAGCGTTCAGAATGAATAAAGAAATTCAGCCTTTGTGTCTGTCTGATTACATGGTAACCCCTTCAATATTACTCACAAATCCCTCCGAAGCAAAACTTTTGGTGTGTTTTCACTTGGCTAGATAATTAGCAAACGGACGGTAGCTCGGCAACTCTGTGGCTCAGTTGATTTCGGAATTTCGGCAGAGAAGAAAGTGTGCGATTTGTGCGTTGCCTCGCTTACGAGTATTAATTTCCGGATCGCGCTGTGAAAAAAGATAAATTATAGAAACTTAGTGCATTTTTTCGTGACCGGCAAAGTCGCTTATAAAAGAAAATGGTGAGTAAAAGTGTTATTTGTTTGACGTGTGTCTTGCAATCGTGCAAAAAATGAAAAATTTTTAGTTATCGCAAAGCACACCGTGTTCTACAGCGGGTGCTGCGCTGCCGAGGCAGCGAACTAACTAGTTCACCAAGTCATCGTATTACGTCTCAATGGAGTTCAGAGAGTTTTGTGTCTGAAAAGCATATAAATTTACGGCGCATTTTGCATTGTTAATAATTTGTTGGGAAAAGCTGGAAAATATTGCTGGCACATCATCAAATTGCATGTATCGCTTGGCACACTTGGCTGCCTTTTAACGCAGCGCTGCTGCCTTGCTGATTATTTCGTAATTTTTAGTAATACTCAAAAACGGTTGCGGTGTTTTTTCATATGAGCGAACATTTTGCATAATTACGCATTGTTGTTTTGCGTGCATAACCAAAATGTTTAAATATCTTTTAACGACGTGGTCATTGATCATAATGTGCGATTTTCGAAAAGTTGTAAGCTGAAAATCCACTTGCAATGATTGTTCTGAATTTTCCTTTGTGAAGACATTCTTTTTTGTTTTTTCCTCTTTGCACGTTGTTGTGTCGTCGTTTTATCCAATCGCTTATCATCGTTCTTTTCTTCTGTGTTGTTTGTGGAATGGTAGCAGCAGCGCATGGGTAGGGTCGTCTCTTTCTATCGCATTGAGTTGGCCAGGTTGCTGTCGCTAGCTGCCACTGTTGCCAGCTTCCTGCTTTTCGCACTAAATTTGGTGCTTTTCTTGATTCAAAACGCGAAAATTTTCGAGTTATATGGTAGACAGATGGAGAAAATTAATTAGAATTAATAAGCATAAATGCAAATTAAAATTTTACCCTTACATACGGCAGTAATGCGGATAAACCAGGCGCAAGGTCGTGGGTTCGAGTTCCACGGCCAGTAGACTTTTTTATTTTTTTTTTTTATAAGTTCTATATATTTTTTACGTTGCTTTCAGTTAGTTGTTGACTTTTTAATAAAATTCAACTCTAAAAATTAAAATTAACTAATAGTAAAATAAGAAATGTGATATAAAATAATGCGAATGAAAACCAAATAAAGTAAAATTAAATATACATATAAATAAAATAAAATTAAAAAAGATAAAATAAATAATAAAAAATTTTTTTCGCATAGCTCCAACCGAAGATCGAACCTGGCAGCTACAGGCTTGTAGCCCGCAGCTCTCCCCTGCAAAAATCGTTGGACCATGTAGTCTATTTGTGGTATATTGGAGTACTTACAAAAGTGCTCCTCTGTCATGCTGTAGCGAACCAACTCGTGTCTCTGCACCAACTTATTGTTACCCGATCACTGCTCGTGTTTTAACGAAATGTGATTCAAGTTAAGCATTTGAAAGTACATTTGCATGTCTGGCTGTAGCTGAACGTGTAGAGATGCTAGCTGTTAGTTCTTAGCTCCCAGCATGTTTGGGTTCGAATGTCATCAGAGGCAACATGTAATTTTTAATTTTTGTTTTTGGTTTTTATTCATTTCAAAAAAAACATCTGCGAAGTGAAGAACAAAACCGTGTACAAACGAAAAAATATAACGACAATGTCATTGGAGTATGTTAGGAGTAGTTTTGTGCTACTCTCATGTAATGCAGAGATGGAGTATATGGTCCTGCCCTAGGACATCGCAATGTTAATTGGACCATATTTTTTATATGAATTGTGGATAATTTTGGAGTACTCCATGGTCCTTCGGGAGTACTCTTTACATGCATGCATGGAGTAGTCGCGATTTTTGCAGGGTCACCACTCGGCTACCGCGTACGCGAAACTCGCCTGCTTCGTTTGCTTACTTGTACAAAAGACAACAACTGGCCGTTTTTACCAGTGTTGTCATCGAAAATTCCCCGGACCCGAGTTAATTCCCAAAAATTTCGTGCATTTGTTCGGCTGTTTATGCTCATTTTAAAGAGGAAAATGCATGAGTTAAAGCAAATAAAGGCTGGTTATGCAAATAATCGAGCCCGTTTGTCTACCGTATTAGGTGGTTGGTGCGTTTTTTGGTGCTTTTTGTTTAAGTTTGAAGACACAAAAACTGTTAATCTGAATCAAATAATGCGTAATATATGTAATTTAGAGCAATGGGAAGTTTCGTAAGAAACTTTACAAAAATGGAAACAAAATTATGGTACAATGACAATCATAAGCGATAGAGCATATGTTTGTAAAAAAAATAAGTGGGCAGCACTTTCAATCGTGCCAGAATTACATACGGTAATTTGCCATTGCCTGCAAAAACGTCCATGTTTCTGAGACCAGGAATCGATCTTTAGACCTTGGGCCGAGTTTTTCATAATTTTTTACGAATATAAAAATTCACCAGTATCTCCTAACAGTAAAATGAATTACGAATATTCGACCGCCGAGCAAGAAGCATTAATTTTTATTAATTTGAATCGGTATACCTACAATAAAATTTTGTATGCATACAAAGTCCATAAAATCCTCCAATAAAAAATTTGGAGCTTTTTTCGAGAATAAAGGCGACCTTTCTTGGATTTTAGTACCTTTTCAAATTCAAAACTTGGCAACACTGCTAGCCGCTGTGAAGCATGAAGACCGGGGTAAAGGTCACATGGTTGCTTTTGGTGGATTTCGGACTTTTTAGGAGATTTTTTACTAGCGGTCTGTGATTTGTTTTTAAACAGCGAAATACAAGGCGCATCAATATAACTAAAGTAAAAAATGCGGTCCCGACCTGGGATGTGGATGGCTATAATATCCACGTCCCAGGTATATAGAGTAAAAATTTTTTATCGTTAATTTTAAATAAAATTCACAAAACAAAAAAGTTAAGTAATAAAATAATTTGTTAATTGTTATTCTATACTACAATTAAGAACTAATTAATTGTTAATTGTAATTCTCCACATTTATAATTAACGAATTGCTAATTGTAGTCGCAGCAATTGTTAATTATTCTTACAATTAAAATTTGCCCAACATTGATCCACAGCAATTTTCACAAGTAAAAAAGCAGTACAAAATTGTTTCCTTGGCGTTCATTGTGGTATATCTTTTTTGTC